GAGTCACGAGCGAATGCTGAGAGACGATTGCTAGCAATGGAACGACGCTTTAGAAAGGATGATCAACTAAAACAATGGTATAAGGATTTTTTGGATGATTATCTTAAATTGGGTCATATGTCTCGAGTAACGGAAACTGTAGAATCAATCAATTACTTACCTCACCATGCGGTGTTGAAGGAAGCAAGTACCACAACGAAGCTAAGGCTGGTGTTTGATGCATCGTGTAAAACATCATCTGGGTTAGCACTGAATGATTGCATTATGACTGGTCCTGTGGTGCAGCAGGAGTTATTTAATATTATTCTTCGTTTCAGGCAGTATCCATTTGTCCTCACCGGAGATGTGGTAAAAATGTATCGGCAAATTTTGGTGCATCCGGATCAGCGGAGGTTGCAGTGTATTTTGTGGAGAGAGGATTCCACGAAACCAATGGAGATTTTCCAACTCAACACGGTAACTTTCGGAATTACTGCTTCCCCATACTTGGCAACCCGCTGTCTTCTACAATTGTCGAATGAACATAACGATAGTCATCCAAATGCTTCTCGAGTCATTAGAGAAGATTTTTACGTTAATGACATGTTGACGGGGGGTGAGACTGAGGAGGAAATAATCGAGATCAGAAACGAAGTGTACGAGATCTTATCATCTACCGGATTGGAACTGCAGAAAATTCATTCGAATGCAAGGATTGCAGATCATGATCAAGAGAAGCTGGAAATCACCGAGATTAAGACGTTAGGTCTTCGATAACAACCAATGGAAGATCGGTTGAGATATTGCTTATTGTACGAAGAAAAGTCAGGAGTGATTACGAAACGCATGATGCTGTCTGCTATAGCGCAAATATTTGATCCACTCGGCTTGATTGGACCATTCGTCGTTGTATCAAAAATGCTGCTACAACATCTGTGGAAGTTAAAACTCGAATGGGATGCCCCAATCCCTAATGATATTGGTGAGAAATGGATTTTTCATTGCAATAAGCTGAAAAATATGGATCATCTGAAGATTCCGCGTCATGCATTGATTGTTGCACCAAGGTCGATTCAAATACATGGATTTTCCGACGCTTCGGAAAAAGCATATGGAGCATGTATTTACCTACGCTCTATGGACTTGAATGGAACAGTATTGACTCGTTTGCTATGCGCTAGATCCCGAGTAGCTCCTATGAAATCATTAAGCCTACCTAAGCTGGAATGCACTAACCATAACCGTCAAAGAGGCTTTCTTCTGGAGTGATTCCACAATCACATTAGCATGGATTAAGGGAGATCCATCGAGATGGTAGACGTTTGTATCCAATCGAGTTGCGCAGATTCAACGGTTGACTGTTGCTGAAAAATGGAATCATGTCAGGACAGAAGAAAATCCAGCAGATCTCGTCTCGCGAGGAGCTAGATTGAATGATCTATTAAACTCGAAACTCTGGTGAAATGGATCTGACTGGTTGCAGAACAACGTTGACGACTGGCCGCAGGATGACATCGTGATCTCGGAGATTCCTGAAGAGAAAAAGGTTGTACTGACCTTTGCGATACAACAGAAGGATTTTTCGCTATTAAAAAGATTTTTATCGTGGAATAAGCTTCGACGAATGACAGCGTATTGTCTACGATTCAAGGACAATCTGAGGAAAAAGATGCAAAGGTGATCCAATTATCATTGGAAATTTATCAGCCGAGGAGTTGAGAAACGCTGACATGGTGCTGATCAGAATGCATCAGCAAGAAGAGTTTTCAGGAGAAATTTCCAGGCTTCGTGAAAATAGATCAATAGATCCGAAGAGTAGATTGCTATCGCTGAACCCTTTTTTGACAACAATGGATTGATTCGAGTTGGTGGAAGATTATCACAGGTACCTGCTTCCTATTCCCAACGTTTTCCTGTTATTTTATCCTCCAATCATTTCCTTACTAAATTAATAATACGCGATTTTCATTACAGAAATTTACACACCGGAACTTCGTTATTGCTTGCTTCTTTGCGAGAAGCTTATTGGATTCTATCGGCTAGGCGATCGATTCGGAAAGTATTACACAAATGTGTATTGTGTTTTAGGACTAAACCGAAATATGTAAACCAATTAATGGGCAGTTTACCAATTGAGCGCGTCACTGCTTCACGGGCATTTGCGCACACTGGTCTGGACTATGCGGGACCATTTAATATTAAAATTTCACGAAATAAGACTCAAAAAGCGTATCTCTGTCTTTGTGTGCATGGCGGTCAAAGCGGTGCACTTGGAACTAGTCTCGGATCTGTCAGCAAATGCATTTTTAAACGCGTTGAAGAGATTTATTGCTCGCCGCGGGAAATGTTTATCGTTGTCGTCAGACAATGGCAAAAACTTCGTCGGAGCCAATAACGAACTAAAAAGAATCGTGACGCAATTGCTGACGGAAACCGAGAGCAGGACCAAGATTTTGGATTTTGTTGCTAATCACTCGATCAAGTGGAAATTTATTCCACCTTACTCGCCTCACATGGGTGGCTTGTGGGAAGCGACGGTCAAATCGGCGAAATCGCATTTGAGAAGTGTACTCAGTGACACGCCTCTCACATTTGAAGAGTTTTATACTTTAATTGCTCAGGTCGAATCTATTTTAAATTCACGTCTATTGTGTCCAGTCTCTTCAGACTCGAATGATTTAAATGTTTTACTCCTGGACACTTTTTGGTGGGAACCGCGATAAATTCTATTTTAGAAAAGAATATTCTTGATATACCAAGTAATCGTGTCAATAGATATCAGTTATTATCACAAATGCAGCAATCTTTTTGGCAAAGATGGTCACTTGAGTACATAACTTAGATGCAGTCTCGTTCTAAATGGAGAAAATGCTTCGATAACGACAAGTTGCGCTTAGGTCAAATGGTAATTTTGAAAGACGACAATTTGCCGCCACTGCGATGGCGTTTAGGGCGAATCAAGGAATTGTATCCTGGTCATGATGGACTAGTTCGAGTCTTAAGTATTAAGACGAGTACTGGTGTGGTAAAGCGTGCATTACCAAAAATTTGTATTTTGCCAATAGACGACGATTAATGTATGGAAAATGTGATTTGTTACGATTACAATGATTGTGTTGAAATGCAGAGTGAGTCTGACGCGAACATTTCAAGAGGGCCGGTATGTCGGAAAAAGGAAAATTGAGGGGAATGAATTAGTGAGAGAAAATTCATTGTGACGTATGAGTGACGTATAAATGACGTATGTGAACGAAAGAAAGCGGGAAAATGAGACATGAAAGCAAGTAGTTATCTCCGTACCTCTGGTCGAATTGCCAGAAAATTCAGTCATGTAAATTTCAAATATAAATTCAAATAAATCCAAGTACTTATATTTTCATTAATGAGTTTCATTTCTCACTAATACGCTATACGCAACAGGGTTTTCGGGGTCGGTAAATCTGAATCTAATGTCAGTTCTTGAAAATTAGAAATGTCGGATCCAATATAGCGACCAAAAAGTTTAAAAATTGTTTAGATTTGCTTGATACTCATTACTCGGATTTTTTAGGATCGCTGAATCCGAATTTCCGTATTTAAAAGAATTACTTTTTTAAAAAAAGGAAATAGACAAATAAGATTATTTAAACAATTACATCACTTACAATTAAAATTAACACTTATTTACACATTATAGCACTGTAATAATTAATCAACTGAAACTGCTTTGACTAATCCTTGGGCAGACAAGCGGGGTCCATGGGACCCCGCAAGTTTCTGTTTTTCAAATTTTTCTGAATCCGTATGAAAAAATGAGTTTATCCTAAAAATTCTGATAAATAGACAGTTTTCATTTACAGTTTTCATACTCCAACTGTAAATAATGTCACATGTGTGTTAAACCATTTTACCGGTACGAACGGGCAAGCGGGGTCCAGTGGACCCTGCAATGTCATAAGGATGAAAATATTGCGATAACGTACAAGGAAAAAAATTTACTATGGCGACTACAGTACCACTTAGTGGAATAGACTAAATGTACTAATTGTGCTATATACAAATAACAAAATAGTGTTTTTTTCAAGAAATTTGCACCTACACAAATTAATCCAGCCTTGCACTCAGAACGGTGTGTGTATTCTCCAGGGTACTTCGCAAATCTAACATTTCGTTAAATTTAAAATCTTAATCATCATTTTTATATTTTAAAGCATTAAAATTCATAATATAATTTTTAAAAATATATATATGTACAAAGATCTACGTTCTTGTAAGCGGGGTCCAATGGACCCCACTTACCCGTTTACGTAATTTTTTTAGCTTGCCCGCCGAAGGGTTAAAAATATTTCAACAATGGAGACCATTAAATTAACATAACATTTTAAAACTTTTGTTCACCATATTGGATCCACCATTTCTAATTTTCAAAAACTGACATTGGATTCAGATTTAGCGACCCCAAAAACCCCCAACTATTAAGTTTTAGGCGAATATAAACAATTTTTTAACTTTTTGGTCGTCATATTAAATCCGCCATTTCTAATTTTCAAAAACTAACATTGGATTTAGATTTAGCGACCCCTAAAACCCTCAAGTATTGAGGTTCAAGCAGATCTAAACAATTTTCAAACTTTTTGGTCGCCATATTGGTTCCGCCATTTGAAATTCTTAAATTCAACATCAAATTCAGATTCTGCGATCTAGAATACTATAGTACACTCATGAAAGTTAAAATTAAATTTGATTTGGTACTTTTTTAAGGTGCTTGTATACAGAGTTGACGATGAAAATACTAAAAATTACTTTTATCAAAAACGGCCCGATGGATTATTTTAATTTTTCTTGCAAAATACTAAGGAAGGTCTCCAGTGTTGGAATCCACAAAAAATCCCATTTCGCAAGACTTTTTTTTTAAAGTTGGTTCAAGCCCACCGTGTGGCACAAACACTACACTAGTATAAATGACTTTTATGTACCAACATTTTTTCCATGTATGAAAATAATAAAATTAATGTAACAAAATATATAAAAAGTATTCTCACCATAGTGTCGGTGGAACATTCCAATCCTTCTTAATAAATGCAGCAACTCTTTCTCCAATCATCATTGATGGAGCAGCAGTGTTGCCAGAAGTGACCTTGAATTAAAAGTTAATATGTGACGATCTGAAGAAAGGGACCTTAGAAGCAAAAAATTGTAGGTTTTGTTTGCAATTTTGTAAATGAAAATACAAAAAAAGGATCTACTGTCAATATAAATCATTGATGTTTACGTCTTCATTACAACTAAAATATTTAATAAACGCTGATTTTAATTTGCAATAAGTAAAATAAATTTTCAATTCAGAAAAAAGTAACACTAACATAACCTTAAAGTGATTTGCTTCTAAGGTCCCTTTTTCAGATCACGTCACATATTATTTTGATAAAAGTTAATATTATGTTAATATCATGTAGACCCTCCAGTTTTAATAAAGCTGGAGGCTCAAAATAATTATGTTCATCCTAACTATCGTGATAGTTTAGTAGACCTTCTAATCATAATATATTTTTAATACGTTTGATAATAAAGAATTTTTTTGGTTTAACTCAGAAAATGAGAAACTTTAAGTCTGTCATGGAAAATAAAAAGAACGTAATTGTCATTTTTGGTAAAATTGAGGTTTTGATATAATTGGTGCTAACAATTATTAATTTCACTCTCTTAAATGTAAATGTAATCTTAAACGCCAAAAACAATTAATTTTTAGTTTGATCTAAGTCAAATCGTGGTGCTTCATTAAAAAGTGAGCCTCCTTGTCTTTCACTTATTGAAAAATAGTGCAATAATGAGAATCTAAAAAATTGCAACATGCACAATGATTTTGTACACCATGCACACTTGATGACAGACACCATTTCACAAAGGAAATATTTGACCTCGCAATTTTTAAAACAAATAATCTAATAGATTATGGAATTCTAGTGTTTTATTTTAAAGATAACCACGTTGGTACTAAGCGGTACTTGGTTAGATTTTCGTATCGTGTTTATGATAACCTAGTCCGAGAAACATTAAATAAAACTTTTCTAAGGTCTGAAAAAAGCTTTAAGAGGTTGAATTTTTCCTGTCGTATTAGCTGGAATGTTTTCAATTGTAAAAAACTTTTTTCTGTCATCTCTAAACTAGGTTTGAACCTGGTTGGCTGTCAACTTTCTAGAACCAGATGCTAACATAAACATCCCAGTTAAAAAAAGTATTCAGAATAGATAAAAGTATTGGTGGTAACTTAAGCTGACTAATTTGAGCTCTTTTGTTAGGACTAACTTCTCACGAATACACCCACATGCCTTAATGAGTTGATTGCCAACCAACTAAGCTTTAGGGACTTTTAGTGATTTTGATACGATACGTTTCGGCCGGTAAACATTAAGTAATCAAAAGGGCGTTTTGCACATGGTTTCACTTTGGTTGATTCCCCGGAAGCTTGGGTTTTTCTCTTCATTACTACAATATTTCCAATTTCGAATTTTACATTCTTCAATCTAGCCTTGTCATACATTTCTTTTGATTTATTTTGTTCGATTTCAATTTTCCTAATAGCTTCCGCTTTAATTTCCGCTGGTACACGGAGAAAATTTCTTTCGTAATGATTACAATAGTCTATATTACAGCTCGGATATGTGACAACTTTTTGTAATGATTACGAAAACTATGTAATTTATTAAGAATTTAGTAGGAGGGATTACTATAGTTACTTTAATGAATCCAAACACTGTATTAATCGTGTTGAAATTTATTTTTTGGAATCATTAATAATTTAGATGTACAGGTTCAGAAAGGAAACTGTACTCATTTACGCAGAGACTTGTTATAATTACAATAGTCTACGTTAAAAGGAAATCTTAGATTCTGTTCACATTTGCAGAGGTCTAAGGGAATCAGTGATACAGACTGTCGTAGCCTTTACAACAGGTCTATTGTAAAATAAGGTGACCGGCTGCCTTGCCTCCTAATTTTACTATAGTTCTTTGTAAAGACTACTATTGCTATATTTCTGATTACAAATGACTGTTGTAAAGTAAAAATAGTATATTTCGTAACGAGTGCGAGCAATTGTCAATTTTTGAATGAGCACTTTTTTTGGAACAAACTGTAGGCGAAGCCAAAAAAAAGTGCTCGTTCTAAAATTGGCAACTGCTCGCACTAGTTACGAATGATATTTTTTGCAACACTAACCTGTAAAATTGAATTTTACACACAGAAAACTGTGTGTAAAGTACTTCATTTTATAGCGGTGTCTAAAGTGTTACTTTACACACCGCTAGCAGTGTGTAAAATAAATTCCAGTGTGTAAAGTGATTTTCAGTGCGTAAAATGATTACTTTACGCATTCTTGTGACTGTTTGATGAGAAACCATGAATTAAAGCTTTTAAACAACAATTTACAATCACATTTTTATTTTAGCTTCTAGAAAACTTCATTTAACAGTTCCCCCACTACACCTAAACTTTCAGTAATATTGGCAATATTGCTGCAAGTTTAGTTGTTTTAGTGTTGCAAAAAATTTTGTATGACATTCGTGCGTAAATCAGTTTGTACTTGTGTGACTTGCAGCACTCGCCTTCGGCTCGAGCTGCAAACGTCACACTCGTATAATCAACGATTTTACGCACTTGTATCATAAATAACTATTTCATAACAAGGTGCAAAAATGTGCCCTTTTTTGCACCGCGTTATGAAAAAGAAAATTTTCAACTAAAATAAATTTTTTTTTGTAATTCATGACTTGCGTAAAGTACGTAAGTTACCTAATTAGTGCAATTTACAATAATTCATTCATTACGTAACTTAAGTTATTTACGTGAGTGCAACTTACATTATTTACGTAACTTACATTATTTACGTAACTTACATTATTTACGTAACTTACATTATTTACGTAACTTATATTATATACGTAACTTATATTATATACGTAACTTACGTTATTTACGTAAGTTAACTTATTTATATAACTTACTTTTGTTATTTACGTCAGTTACGTAAGTTACGTAACCTACGTAAGTTGTGTTAATTACATAACAATTTACACAAATTTTAAGCAAATAATGTTATTACATGTTCAAAATAATTATATGTGACTGGGTCTGAGAAAAGGGACTTTATGGGACTAATTGCATTACATTTTAAGGACCTTAAAGTGCAAGAAACGGTCTAATTCTAAAAATAGATTTTTTTGGGAAAAGGTCCCTTTTCTCAAACGCGGTCACATATAAGTGAAATAAATGTGATTTGATATAAAAAAAATAATTAAATTTTTTATTTAAATTGCACTTTAAAATATGTAATTTGTTCTTTTTCGTTCGAGTCAAGTGTACCAGGTTTACCATTTGTATTTATTGATTGACCGATTGTCATTTGTTATTGTTCGTACCAATCAAGCGCTTCAATGTTAACAATTGTTTCTGATGATTGTCCGACTGACTGTCATTTGTTCTTTTTCGTTCGAATCAAGTGCTCCAGGGTTACCAATTGTTTTTACTGGTTGACACACTTACTGTCATTTGTTCTTCTTTGTTCAAGTCAAGCACACCAGGTTTACTAATTATTTCTATTGATTGGCTGACTGACTGTCATTTGTTTTTGTTCATTCGAATTAAGTGCTCCAAGGTAACCAATTGTTTCTATTCATTGGCCGAATGACTGTCGTTTGTTTTTGTTCGTTTCAGTCAAGCGCTTTAGTGTTAATCATTAATTTTCTTACTTTTACTCATCGTAAGGTTGACCTAACTTTTACTATTCAGGATTAATTTTAAACAATATTCGCCATATTGGATCCACCATTATGATTGTTTACATTTCAACATTAGGAACCCCAAAAAGCCCCGAGTAACAAGTTTCAAGTAAATCCTATTGATTTTTAATTTTTTCGTCCTCCATATTGGATCCGTTATTTTGAATTTTGACTTCAGATTCGTAATCAGCGACCCTAAGAACCCCTGAGTAACAAGTTTTAATCGTTTCTAATTTTTTTTTAATTATTTCGTCCGTCATAGTAGAAAATGTATCTTGACACTTTTTTTATTTATTACTATTTTATTTATTTATTATTATTTTTTTACTTTTGCTTTTTTATTATCTGTTTGAAGAGTTTTACTAGAGCTGAGAATTTTAAATTTTAAGTAATGTGTTATTTTTAAGAAATTCAAAATGTCGGACAAAAATTTTTAAGTTTATGTGATTGATCTTAACTTTGTCACTCGGGGATTTTCGGGTCGCTGATTACGAATTAGATGTGTAACGAATTATCATGTGTGAGGGTGAATTAATCTTTGTCACGTCGTTGGGTATGATCGTGTGAAATCGATGAGAGACCGAAATTTCACGATGTTACGGTAAGTCATGCCCAAAATCTCTGTGAAGCGTCAGCATCGCGGAAGTTCTGTGTACCCGTTAGCGGGGTAAGTAATATAAAACTAAAATTGAACATAAGAGTGTGAATTATAATTCGGAATCATCTTATTACAGTTTTTTGAATCAGAGCAATAAAAATAAAATAGAACCCCTTCGGGTCTGTCGCAACTTCTCTTGTTTTCATTGCTTTGTAGGAGAGGCACGATTTTGACCCGAACACGTTTTTCTGTGGAGGAGTGACGATTGGCGAACAATCGAGTATAGTCGACTTTCGGAGCGGCGTCTTCACAAATACGTATTTCCAAGCGGATTGATAATGCAAGGCGAGATTAGGCTGATTGATTTGATCATCTCACATTAACCCGATCACGAAGTGATCTAGGACGAAACCGACAAAATCACGCCTGCGAGACGTTGAGCCTGCTCCTAGAATCGACAAAGATAATAAAAGATAAATTACCGTCCACGAGTATCAGGACAATTACATTCGACTCTATGAAAAAACATGCCACCACTTTTTTAATCATATTTTGGAAATTAAAGGAGATACAAAAAAAACTTAAATACGGTTAGAAAGCTGATTAAATTCTGCGTAAAATAAACCATCTTTGAAGTCATTTCGTTAATTATTTTTTAAGTTGTAGAGTGAGAAAGAAATAAAAAAAATTATCAAATTTTCTCATTTTTGTCTCTTGATTTCAACTTTTTCAAAAATCTAGAAAAATTTAGATAAAATTTTT